ATTATAACCTTTATTGAGTTACTTAACTGAAAATTTGTCTAAGCATTGAAAGCAAAGAGTTAAATAATATTGATTTTTAAAACAATATACCATATAATGTATAAGCAGTTGTGTTTATTGTTTTATGAATACACTATCGTATAAATTGTATAATTTAATTGCGTATAAAAAAAAAAATCATAGGTGCATGTAGAATATGAATTCTAGTAAGTCCTCTATATTCCTTACTACACTATAAAATGGAATAAATGATCATCGCTTATGAAAAACGTTAAATATACCAGCGGTTTTACAAAGTATAATAGAAATAACTGATGGAAGTACTACAGTTGTTAGCCGTACATGGTTAGTTACAAGTTATTATGTTTCTGTCACGTCTTTATGCATAATCATTAATATTTTAAATAAATTATACACATTTGTTCATAAAAGTATAATACCTATGTAGAAATTGGCTACGGTAGATATCGTAAGATGGTCGTGAACTCTCTATTTAAATAAGCGTAATATTGGACGGGGATGGGGGAGGAAAGCTTATATGTTATATCATTGAAAAAATATCTACCAATGTCTGTGACGATAACCTAAAACCGTCTACGGGATTTATTGTACGTCGTGAACGAGGTCACACACGATAATCTTGATCAGACTCACGATAAGTCGGTATAATAATATATATATATATATATATGATAACCGATAGCAGACGGGCGCACACCGCACGCGGCAATGAAAAAAGTTCGCAGACTGACGTGTTTCCGTAGAGTGATAGAGTGCAAGTAGGGTAGCGCCATTCCAAAGAGTAAAATAATTTATATGCGTACTGAGATAGGCGAAAAGTGTATGATGCCGAGAACGAGACCAGGACAAAGACAGAGAGACGGAGTTCTAATAATAACACGCGATGGCTGCTGCGGATCAATTCGAGTGGACCGCAAGTTTGGGCAAGGCTGTAGTGGCGCGGCGTCAGCAGTTCGATGCAACAGCAGGTGTATTGTTCTATCCGTGTACATTGTTTGGTTTTGTTACACGCGCGGTATACCGTCCATGGTAATTGTTTTCCTCCCCTCTACCCACGTCTTTCTCGTTCGTTCGTTTATAAATATCATTTTTTTTTCCCCTCTTCGGTTATGTTACAGATATTATGCTCTCGTCCGTATCTTCGTACGCTTCCAACACGACACGACACACAAGCTCTCACATAAACTACTCACGAGCATACACGTTTACACGCATACAGTGATTATGCGATATTATATTTTCCACAAAGACGTACAAATTACGCCTCCGACGAACCCGCTCCCGCGACGACTGCTGTTTTCTCTTCCGGGAGCATGCAACCACCCTGCTCGGTGACCGCCCGGCAAGTGTGGCAAAATATCGAAAATAGATTTCTCCTGGCGGCCGGTTACTGTACACAGCTAGATCGCCCTTTTCACCACAACTCTCACCGTCGGTTGACCTTTACATAATAAATAAAATCGAACGCGCCTGCACCTCCTCCTCGCCCCCACCGCCGCCCCGAATCTACCCTTCCCGTCCTACGATCTCGAGCCGTCGCGGAACGGCTCCACACCTTCTAGATCCATATACTTATAAATCACTGTTTAATTTAAATCCAACGACGGTACACGCCAGCGGCAGATATCCCTGTATATACATAATATTGTGCGCGTACCCCTTTTTTAAGCCATGCCCGAATCGTTTCTCGTACATTTCGAATGCGCACAGTGCATTCCAGTCCGTTTGACGGTTTAATGTTTCTATTTGCGAAGAAAAAATAAATAAATAAAAATTACTAGTCATTGAAAGCGACAATCGGTAGATTTATCCGATTTATTAAACAAACGGGGCGTATTTTTTTTTTAATTTGATTACATTTCAAAAACAATCCAATTGTACATTTTAAAAGGTCCGAAGACGCCCTACTGCCGCATCTATACTGCCTCCCATCTATTCATAGTCAATACCCCTTAAATTATAGACAATTGCCAACTATTTATGTTACACAATCTTATTTTATTTTTTTCCAGTACACCGCGTATACGTATAATAGTATAATGCAATACTATAGTAAATAATATAGACTTTTTACATTTTGATTTAAAATAATCTTTTCAGCATAATAATAATGTAATACACTTTTTTGAACCAAGTTAAGTTATATTTCTTTATCAAACAAACGAGTCTGAATTCAATCAAAACTAATTCACTTTAAACTGAATACCTAACGAGTACCTACATTTATAATTCAATTGAGAAAAATAGTGTAGAAAGTCAAGTGCAATTAATTTTAATATATCAAACTTTAAAATTTTGCTGTTTAAGTAAATTTTCTTTATTACACAGTCTAGAATATTTCAGTGAAGAGAGTTTACTTGTCTGTAGAAAATAACTTGTAAGTTAATTTACATTGTAAATAGAAACTCTCGGTCAAAATTTAGGTATATACAATTAACGTTCTGTTTTCAATCCCTCTGGCATTTTAAACTTTGTTTTTAATTGAATATTAAACAACATTTATCCAATTTCATTGAGTTTAGATATTTGTTCAATGTTATTATTATATTTTACAATAAATACATACGTATACACACACACACACACACACACACATATATATATCAAAGGTGTACGAAGAAAACTTTAACTAACTAAGGATGACCATACGTCCTGTTTTATACAGGATTGTCCTTTATTTCAACTTTATATCCTGTTGTCCTGACGATCTTCTTTCAGGACGCTTTTTGTCCCGTATTAATTCCGTGTTTGCCATACTATTATAATTTAAAACTTTTGAAATCGATTTTAGAAAAAAAAGTCGTTTTTTACGGTGTTTTTGTATGACATTATTGATTAGAAAAATATAATAATCTATACTTTTTAGTAGTATTTTTGAATTCTTGTTTGTACCATAATTATTGCTAAATCACATTGTTGTCGGCGACGTAAACCGTATACCTGCGTATAATTAGTATTATATTTACCGACCAGCGCGATCGGTCACAACCTATCCCTTATAAAATGTTTATTATTATAATTATGTTATTACTTATAAATACATTTTTTATTACTCTAAATATAACCTAATAATAATAGCTCCACGATGAGCACAAGCGTTGTCTTATCGGCAATCACATATATTTTGAAATGGTTGTATTATATTAGTACCTTTTCTACAATTTACGTTTTTTTTTTTTTTTTGTAAGTAAAATACATGATTAAAGGAAATTTTAAGAAATATTAATTTAATTTAACTATGTTATTTTATGTTTTTTTCAAAATAATGTTTTTATGTGTCTAAATTTTAATTTTTAATAATTTAAAAATTATATTTTTTCACAATTAAAAATCAACAAAAAAAATATGAAAAATATTAATTTAAAATATTATGATTATAATTTTTGTACTGTTTTTTATGTTTTTTTTTTTTTTTTTTTATATATGGTCACCCTAAACTAACTTTATATCTTACGAATCAAACGTGTAACGCTTCATAGGTTTACCAATGTTTGAAATTATAGTATAATTATCATTTATTATGGTAAGACAACCTAGTTAATGCAAAGTCAATACATGTATTTAATATTTAAAATAAAATTAACTTAATTAATTAGTACAAATTATAAATTATTTATGTAGATTTAAATATATTTTTGATGTTATCGTATTTTAATTTTAATAACATAATATTATGATGATATTACAGATATTACTTTTACAATATTACTTACTTTTAAGTACTCGTGTCTTATGTAGTAACCTCGTGTATAATTCTTGATGTTGAATAATATAAAAATTTAAACATTGTATACAATACTTTATTTAGTTACTGAAATATCGTAACAATTTAAAATCTAAATAGAAAATAATAAATTGCTTTTGAGAATTACATTAATAATTTATGTTAAACGCAAATTCAGTTTTCACCTAAACATAAATTTATAATAAAACAAACAAAACACGAACATTTCACGTTTTACCTAATAATATTATTTCGTTAGGTACACAAATATATGTATATATTTACATGTACTTCTATTTTAATGGTCAATAGTTTAAAAATGTATCTTATTATGTACCGTTTTTACTATATTTCGTGCACGAATAAATTACAACCTAAATTAGGTCTTTAAATTAAATTTTCATGAATATTTTTTTACTAAATCAAATAAATAATAAAATTTATCAAGTTAAATATTTAGTAAAATATATTGTAACTAATCACAAATTGTATGGTGTATTAGATATTTAACTGTTAACTTACAATCCAATATTTAAAAATGTATTATTAATAATTGTATAAATAAAAACGCGGGATTAAGATTGATGTTAAATTAAATTTTATACTTAATACACAATGTTCCATGACTCGATTAATGCCATACTTAAATTTATTAAAAGAACAAATAACTAATGTTGTTTGATTATTATATTATATTATACAAATTAAATTAGTAGGGATGTTTTAGAACATTTAAAAAAAATCAATGGAAAGTTTGCGTTAGTGACTTTCATTCCAACAAATTCGAGTACTGGGCATGTTTTTGATCATTGCTTAAACAATTTAAAAAAAAAAAAATCGAACCCAAGCAAAATAATAAATATCTATCGGACAGAGTATACTTGACAGACCTTATATATTTTGTGTTATTATTAATTATAATGCATATGTATATCAGGTAAACAGAAATCAATTGTGGTCTATGAATAAAATGTATCTACCTCGAAAGAAATGTTTTTATTTTTTTTTGCGGTAAATTAAACGATATTTTTATTTTTATTTTTATTTATTTTTTTTTTGTATTTGTCATTACTTTATTTGTTTAACACGTAGGTACACTACATTTTTATGGCCCTTGAAAATTTACTGTATTCTTAATGGGATCCTCCAACATATTAATTGACAACCCTTGCTTTATACCACAAAAATTAGTATAAACTATAAAATATAAATGCATATATATATTTTTAAGTAATATAATATTGATTTTTCATAGGATGTTACCGGCATACTATACGCTGAACGACGAAGAAAAGGATTACATTTGTTCGAAAAATGACGACAACGGCATGCACTCATGTTTCGACTTGCCACCCACGCGTGGTCATGATGCAATGATTTGCAATGCCACGGCCAACATGGCACTCGCTAACGGTTCGTGTGTCAATTGGAATTACTACTACACGGAGTGTAAGTCTCAGGGCGAGAATCCGTTCCAGGGGACTATATCGTTCGACAATATCGGCCTGGCCTGGGTAGCCATATTCGTTGTAAGTATAATACAGAATTATTATGACTATGGTGGTGTTGCTTGTATACTTTGTAGAGTACCCTGTATTCACGTATAGACGATAAATCAGTTGAATTTTACGAGGCTTGAATTTGTTTTCGAAAAAAAAAAACACATGTTTGAATAGTCGTAAAAATATTACATAACTTTAAATATTTCCATTCCATTCCTTTGACCATCATTTATTATCTATTTTACAATAAACAATAAATTATAAAAATATTCAAATTGAATTTAAAATGTGTTTAACTATTAAAATATATATTATATTGGCTTAGGGTATACATATTTTCAGGGTGAGTTGGGTCGGGTTAAATATGTAAAAAAAAAAAAAAAACTATTGATTCTGAAAATAAAAAAAATATGAAATAAAATCAAACTACTAATCAACTTTAAAATAATAGCAAATTGTTTCTATTTTAACGCTATGAGCTATAAAAGTTATAATACCCATCAAATATGACATATTTTGACAGGAGTTTGGAAGTATTTTAGGGGGCTAAACACTCATATGTTCCAACCTCATATCTGACAAATTATTGCAAATAGTATATTTTATGGTATGGCCTTAACTATAACACATAAACTGTCTATAAAATCTAATTTAACAAAATATTATTTAATGTCACGAGTAACCATATTATGGTGATCATAATCGGCTTATGTTGAACTAGATCAAAAATAGATGCTTTTTTTAAAAGCTATTTTAGTGTTGGGTCGATGTTTTAGTCTAATCACCTCAACTCACCCATTATATAGTTTACACTTACGATCTATACTTATCTTATTAAGACTATAGTATACGTGTATAATATATTATATGTATCATACGTATTGCTTAATGAATTTTTAATATTTGAATGATATATCGGACAGTACTCGAGTGAAATAATATTTTCGATTAGCATTCTTACGTAAATAATTTGATACGTCATAATGTTCGATTATATTTTATATCTATGTACAAATAAAAAAGTATACTTAATCTCGAAGAGTGTATTAAATAAATAATCGCTTCGTACTCAAACTGCAAGTAAGACGTATATTGACCGGTAAGGTTATGTTAGCCAATTTTTAGTCAGTTGATACAAAGTGAATTTTATAATAGAGATAACGAAGGTTATTTATTGGAGTAGTAAAAATAATAATGGGAAATGACAAGCTTAGAACAATATAAAAATAAAATGGAAAGTGTATAAAATTCTTAAAAGAAATAATAGAAATGAATGTTATGTTTGACAACTGAAAGTGGTTTTAAGCAAAAATGTTTGAAATTATGAAAGAGAAATAAATTTAATAAAATCTGCAAATGACATGAAAAAATATGTTATACACGAATCTAAGAAATATAATATACATACATACCATCAGTCAAAACAATAATATAATATTTTAAAACCTTTGAAATGGAATATTTTTATAAGAATTTGTTAAAAATAATATTTAATATTTCTTCAATAAACAAATGGTTTTGTTAAAAAATTACTAAATACTTTTTATAAAATTCAATTTTAAAACATTGAGTACGCTTCTGTTCATTATTGCATCAACACAATTTACAAAATCACTTTCAAATTTTTAAGTAAATTCAAAGTCTAATTCTATACTTTTGATAAGTTTTCAATTTAGTGTCCATAATATTGAGCAAAAATTAAGTTACAAACCTCTATTGTCCGTAACTTCAATATATTGAGGTTTTGTTCAAATGATTTTTTTTTTGTTTTTATTAATTATTTATCTCTAACTATGATAAACGTTATTAGTTATGATAACAGTTTTTGTTGTTTTTGTTTGTTTTTTTTTTTTAATGATACTCAATGTCTATATTTATTTATACAAACAAATTCTTATTTTTTTTTCTTTAATATTTTGTATTTTTTTCTATTGATTCTCTATTTTTAGTCCCAGGATCTTGTGCGGTTATTTCGGTTTAACACGTTTTTGTTATATCGATGACTATTTATAAAAAATAACGTTTCATTTATTATTATGTTGTTTTATTTAATATTGAATGAGTAAAAAGTTTACTTTTGATAATTAAGTGACCACGTGTTTATTCAGTGGCTAATTATCAATATATTACTAATTACATTTTCATATTTTTGTTCTCATTTTTTTTTTAAATGTACTATCGAATTTATAATAAATATAATAATTATGAAAAGGTATTATATGTAATGTAAAAAAAGAAAAATTAGCTAACCATGGATATGATTAAAGAGGACAAGCTATTTATTGTACATTTTTTTAATACGTAGGTATTGTATACTAAGTTAACACTCAAATAATATTTTGTTTCAATTAAATCTATTAAATGATATATATATATATATATATATTTCTCAACTTGTTTTTATCATATATACAGTTGATAAATAATATTTGATAAAAAAACTTATTAGGTCGTTAAAGAATAATAATAATAACTTTTATGGGTTGTGTTAGCTTAAAGTGTATGACGATATATCTTAGTTACAACATTAAAACAATAATTTCACACTGCGAAAATTAGTAAATTTCAATGTAATAGAATATCAATAGGTTATAGCTTATTTTTATGTTTTAATTTTTATTCACTTTTTTTTAATCTAATGTAAAATAAGATGTCTTATCAGTTATATTTTTTTAACTAACTAAATAAGGATTATGCTTTAGTAAAAATAAATAAATTATGGAAAAATATTTTTACCGTTTAACCACTTTAATATCATTGTCAGATTACAAAACAAGTTAATCTCATAAATCTTTATTTTTCAAAATTAATTATTGTTAAAAAGGATTTGTCCTACCTAAAAACTAAATTATATTATTATTTACACGTCGATTTATCAGTTCTATTTATCTTGCTGACAAACTCAGCATTCCATATCATATTTTAACTTCACATAAACCATTAGACTTTTGAATTAAATATGATAGGTCATGATCCTTTCAAAGTTTATAAAGATATTTTTATTTAAGAAGATAAAATAATTTCTTCATACCTGCAACTAATTATAATTTAAATTGATTAAAATGCGTACGAAAAGTAATTCTAATCAGAAACGGTTTGTCTATATGATATATTTCTAAGCGGTATTTTATTATGTTTAGATTGCTATTAGTAGTGTATTTTTCTGTTAGTAAAAGAAATGGTCGAATTCCCCTTGACCAAAAACAAATCATATATTTTATTTAATAATATTATTATAACAATATTTATCAGACAGGTAATAGATATTATTAAATTAATTGTTAATGTCAATGAACTGTAAAATGATGTTAAAAAGCTCGTACTATAAATATGATTTAGTATATCTAAATACTTATTTTAAAATTGTCACTGAGTAAGTTTCACTTTTATTCTAATTTAATAATATAATGAATAAACGTAAATCGAATCTTGTATTAAAATTCCAACCCTTGTAGGAGTTAAAATTAAAAATTTTCAATAATTCACAACTTTTGATAATTATAAATTATAAAAAAATTAACTAAAAACATATTTTAAACATTGTTGTTTTTTATTTTATTCTTTATTTATATTAAAACAACATATTAGAAACTTATATTAAATTTGTGGGGTTTTTTACATAAAAAAAAAATTTTATCACTCACAAATCGAAAATAATCAAAAAAACTGTCAAATTTTTTCAAAATATTTTTAGTTGAAGATTTAATTTGTCTAGCCGAATTGACTACATGTGGTTAGGGTTCTTAAACGATCGATTTTAGATCACAGGTAAGAGCGAATTGGATACTCGAAGTCATACGTTCAATGGTATAACAATATATCATGTATATGGTTATTATTTTTATTATTAAATATCATACTAATACTATTAAATTATATTAAGTTGAATAAATTAAGCTTTAATTAAGTAGTTGATACAAAAATAGTTTTCCACCAAATAGTATTGTCCTAAAGCAGTACCTCCTATACCAATGTTTCTCAATCAGTATGTTGCCGAATAAGTCTAGATGTATTAAAAGGTTTCAAATATTTTTGATACGATTTACTAAAACTAATAGCGGTTAGGTTTTTATTTTTTTATTGTGTGTCGTCAAGTATGGATTATTTTAATAATGAGTCTTTATGATACAAATTATGAGAAACACTGTCTTATTCAAACATATTTAATAATTAATATGAACAAATAACAAATTATTTAATACTCTCTTCACACATACAATAATATGCGTTATTAATCTACGACTCACGACCCAATTCCGGTCGATTAAGATTTTCAAACTAGCCCTTTAAACTAACTGATGATTTGAAAATATTTAAATTTTATATTTATTATTTTTTTACTTACAAAGAAAAACTAAATTAAATTAAAAGTGATTATATAGGCGTTGCTCTCAATAGCTAAAAATAGTAGAAAACTGCCGATCCCCTACGATAGCGTTTTTGTATTTTATGGCATCGGTTATTAATATTATTATTCTGATGAAAATCACACGATTACTTTGTAACATACATTGAAACAGATTTACAGCACTATAGTTCAGTATTATTTAATAGAGTTATTAAAAAAGTGAGTAGTTTTTTTATTACTGAAATGTCAAAATTATTTCACGTCTGTAATACTCCTTGTATGAGTAAATAGTTTTTAGTTTGTTCCCAGAAACGAAAAGTAAATAAAAATCACATATTTTGTATAAAGTATCAACTCGTATAAAACTAAATACCAAATATTTAAACTAACAGTATAAGATAAAATTAAATTTATAAAGTACGCCTTCAATAAGAAAGACATGATAAAAAACAAAACTATAATATCAAGTAAAACTTTGTACACTCAAAACAAGCATGTCAAATAAAAACACATTTTAGTCTGACTTGTATAATGAATCATAATATAGTAATATATAATTTATCATATTCTAAGCGTCAAAAGTACTATAGCAGTATATAGCAGTATAATATTCTCTAGCATGAGTTAGCTATATTGATCAAAAATATGAAAAAGTCCGTTTCTGTCATGGTCGAACTTATGTTAACTACTATAATATATCATTTCTTCGTGTGCATTTGTAGAAAAGTATCCAAAACATTTGAATATGGAAAAAAAGAAGTCTTTTCATGTATATAAGTAGAAAAAATATTACATGTGATGTATTATGACATGTTTAAAATGTTCAAAATCTAAATTGTAACATTCAAATATTTAAAATATTTAAAAATAAAAAAAATCATGCCTGTCGACATTAAATATAATTAAATATTCTATGTTTGTATATCCTGTTTGAAATACAATTTTTTTTTGACACTTATTTTTCTAATAACAGTTTACTTATTTTGTTCTTTATTTAAAATTGAATAATGATGTCTTACTAAATAATTAAAATAATTTATGAAATACTTCATTCAAAAAGTAAATTTAAATTTAATTAAATATTTAAAACAACTAGTACAGAGATTTTTACGAAACTTTTATCAAAAAAATTCTATTAATAAATAAATAGTTACGTAGGTACTAATAAACATGATTTACAATAAACATTTACTTTACATTTTTAAAGATTTTTCCATAAAAAAAAAAATAATAAAAATATTTAATACAATCTTTACTTCTCAAAAATTTTGAAATTTAAAAGACAAATACAAGTTTTCAAAGATTTAAATCTACTAATAATTTATTATCAAGAAATGTTTTTAAATTTCATTACTTAGAAAAATACCTATATCCCGTAAATATATACTTAAACAACTTCTAGGTCCTTCGCCAAACGGAAGATAAGTACCATTAGGCCGTTTAGCTTTTTCCTCAAGTGAAAATCTTTCGAGATTGTATTTTTAAGAATCCGGCTAATATTTACTAGGAGAATGCAATACATATATTGAAATTTTTAACCTTTCTCCAGTATTATTAAATCGTCAAGTATACGGTTTATTTGTAATACCATTCTGAACAAAGCAATTAAAGGTAGATACTTATAAAGAGTTTCTAGAATAATTATCATATTATCTAAATGAACATTTTATTTATATATTTTATAAGAAGAAAAAAATGAAAAGTATTTTGACAATTTTTTAAAACAATAGGTTTATTGTTAAATTTATAGTTAATTTCAATAAAACAAATATGATTAAACACAAAAAAAAAAAATAAAAACTATAGAAATAAATGATTTCTTCGAGTTTTATGGAAAATTCATCACATCTACTGGTAAAAATAAAAAATAAATAAATAATATGTTTTTGTATGTTCTGTACCCTCTGCAAATCCGGTGAATTCGAGTACCCCGCCTAGTCTATCGCGTACGCGCTCGACCTTACCTCCTCCCACCATTCATATATATGAAGTATATGGATGGGGATAAGGTCGAGTGCGAACGCGATAGACTGGGCAGGGTACTCGAATTCACCAGATTTTCAGGGGGTACAGAACATACCAAAATATACTACTTAAATATATATATATATAAATATTGATTTTGATAATATAATAAGGAATAATAAAATAATTAATTACCAACAATAGTTATACCCAAAAAATTGAGATCCATTAACAACTCACTGTCAATTGGTCTACATTTTGATACTTTTGATCAAATTTCTTCACGCACTATATCTTAAACAGATTTATTTAATGCTAATTCATATAAAAAATAACTCATAATAGAGAATATAACTTCAAAGTTTCAAACCGAGCGGCAAACATAGTATTTGCTACAATTTATAATATTCTATGAACTTTTCTAAAACAACATTTTAAAATATTACACAACTATTCATATTTTTTTATATTTTATACAAAATAATGCATTATCATATTTAGGTAAACCTGTTTTCAAAATTAAATCATTACTCGCTTGCAATTAATAAGAAATGAAATTATTCCTGACTATTTTATTTATTTTTTTATACATTATCGTTCCATTAAGTACTTTGTGAAAAAAGTCAGTCGCGTCCGTTAGAAAATTATTCAATCTTAGAACTTTCAAAAGTGCAGGGATGACCATCAACACACAATTCTCTGAAACGTGTTCTTGTAAAGGTACAAAATAAATATCGATTTTCCATATTTATATTAAAATGCGTATTCGTCATCGCTTATGGCGTTTAACCTGTCGATGACATTGGTCGAACACTAACCCATAATGTTACATATTTCTATTTAGTTGTTGATTTGCTTAAATTTTTTTCATAGAGATTTTCCATAAGTATTTTACCACACTTTCTGATCTGATCGTACTGTATCTTAAATTTCTCTGATGTAAATTCTGCTGTCAATTCGTTTTTTATTATTTTCCATAGAGGATTTTCCATGAAGAATATGTTGTTCAAAAATGGTTTACCGTAAAATCTGAAAAAAACAACACGATCGATGAAAGACGAGAAGTCTTTTATTAGCACGCCGTTGATCAGCCCTGGTCTATAGATCATTAAACACAGTGTCCTCATCTGAAATAATCAACCGTAATTTTGATGAGAAAACTTTTTTATAAAAATATCTGTAAAAATCCAATGGATTGTCTTTGTCCATAGTCACGTTAAAAATTTACGGAACAATGGAATTGGTTTACTGTAGGGAATACTGAGTTTTTCTCATTTACTAATTGTTGAAATGCAAAAATAGTAGTTGATCGCTATTGCGACGATGTATGCAACGATGTATGTCTACCAATCGGTATTGGAAGATGAAAACATGGCTTAAGCAGTATTATACTTATACACACTATTAATATACGACTTAGACGGTACATTTACCGTTAATTATTTTAAAAAATAGTTAACCTTGAGCAAACATGTTCAACAACTTCATTGGAATTTTGGTTTCAAACATACCTGTAATGATTCAATGTAAAATCATTTGTATATTATATTAAATGACTAATGAATGGCAATAGTAGTTTACTTTTATTATATATGAGAATTTATCAAATAGAAAAAACGAAAAATAAATAAGTAAAACACACTAGTAGATTATGAAACATGGGATCTATTATTTACTACATAAACAAGTTAATATTAGGAAATACTTATGGATAATTAGTTATTTTAATTTTAATCTTTATTGTCGTAAAAGTGTATTACCTAATATAAATATAGATGTAAAAATAAGGTATACAAAAATAAATAAATAAAGAAAAACATTTTACATTTTATTTGAATAATTTACCATCCTCTGAATATTATTAAGCAATAGCCTATAAATAGAAGTTATATAATTTTAAGACATCAAGTCCTTATTAAGATTTAATGTGATTTCAAATTATATAAATTACATATTTAAAAAAAAACTGCTAATCATGATATTGTAATCTATGTTTTTTTTTTCATAATATACATTTTTTTTTTTCTATTATTGCTTTTAAACTTTAAGATAACTCTTAAATATTATTATTTTTTTATAAAACAAACTTATCAAACTATTAATTATTTTAAAAGGACACCAATCAATATTTCTCTGTTATAAATTATAATATCTTTATATGTAATAAAATCACAAAAAAAAAAATTTTGGTCATTATAAAAACTTGATTTTAACTATAATCTCATATGTTAATAAGTGTATATTTTAAAAACGAATGATTGTCGGATTTTTTTTTTTAAATCCTTATTAAATACAGACTTTTGATTTAAGAAAACAAGAAGTATGCTGAATCTGTCTAGTACAGTCGTCAATCAGGTTATTGTATACTACAATAATAGCGTTTTTTTTTTTTTTTTTTTGGTATCAATATACAACATTTTGATAATTATTTAAATACGACCAAAAAGGCATTAAATTTAACTTAAAAATTATAAACACTTAACACAATTTTCATTATTAAAATAAATTATACTCTCGAATGGAAATAATATTATCTAGTGCAGTGGTTCTCAATCATTTTAGGACCGCGAACAAAATTTTTTTCAAAAATCGATCGCGACCCCCATAGTTTTACATTTACAGAATCAAAAAACAAATTGTTTTATTACTTATTTACTACTTTATAATAATAATAATTCTTATGTTACTTTAAACTATTATTATAGTTCTATAGTCTATACAATTTATAAAAACATAAATTTCTTACAATCTGTATAATTAAAAAACTTCTCGCGACCCCAAAAGGGGTTAGATCCCAAAGGGTCGCGACCCACAGTTTGAGAAACGCTGATCTAGTGACATTTTATAAAATTAAAAATTAATTCATACAATTTTTACCAAATATTAATATAAATATATCTTTAAAACTATTTAGTTCCTGAGTATTATTCGTTAACGTTTTATCTAATTAATTAATATTTAAATCCAGATAAAATTGTGATAATTGTTTGTTAGATTAGGTTAAAATTTGATTGATTTATAAATTATTATTAATTTATTCAAATAGGTTTCCTGTTGTATGAAATTAAGGTTTCGATAAGTTGAGAGTTCAATCGATTAAAATACTTATTACATATGTAAATGTAATACATTATAAAGGTATATCAGTATAATATGTAATAATTATTTATCACATAAGTTATAAATTATAAAGGCATATTTTATCATATAATATTATATCTACGATACAATAAATAATAATATAATTATTATATATAATTGTGCTTTTAACTATAAGTAAATTTTGTTTTGACCCACAACTCTCTGCAAGATATTACGTCATCCTTGATCAAAATGCTTAAATTTTAATTTTTTACCAAAACAGGTGGTTTTATTGTATTACTCGGGGGTGTATTTGCTAATCTAATTCATAGAAATAAAAAAAAAAAAACACAATATTGTAAAATCAATGCATTTATGGCTCCATTCAAAATCCATTACATAATTTGATGTACAAATATTATGAAATGATGTAAAAAAATAATTAATAATAATAGGAATAACTAACAAATATCAAAAAATAAACTAAAATATTATACAACTTTTTTTCAATCAACAACAACATTGAATAATAATCTCTGGTTAATTATTTTTTTTAAATTTTAGCCAAATACCGTTTTTTGGAATCATTGTGAAAATGTTATTAGCAAATGTTAAAGGAATTTCTGTTTTTTCACATGGGAATACTTCAAATTTTGTTAGTATTTCAACAAGAGCCAATTTCAATTCTATTTCTGCGAAACGTTTTCCTAGAAATTCAAAAGTATTTACAATTATTGTATTTAAATTTTTCATTAAAAACATACCTATACACATTCGAGGTCCATCGCCAAATGGCAGGTAAACACCGTTTGGCCGTTTAGCTTCTTCTTCTGTCGAAAACCTTTCAGGAATAAACTTTTCAGGATCCGTATAATACTGTACATCGTAATGCAATGCATAAATAGGAATTACTATTTGTTGGCCTTTTTCAATTATCAATGAATCGTTAGGTATTTTATATGTTTTTGTTGCTCTTCTAAATAAAACAACAACTGAAGGATACATGCGTAATGTTTCTAAAAAATGTAATGATTAATGTAATGCATTAGTTTCATTTTTTTTATAATCGAAGAAATAAATTAAAAATTTAGTTTAAAAGTGTAACTTAATTTAAAAAATACTATTAATACATTTCAATTATCGACCAAAGTTATGGCAATTTTTATTTCCATTAAACAATAAATTGTGAAAAAATTCAAATGAATCATTTAATTATTTTTCAAATAGTACCAAATGTAAATACTTGTTTTAACCAATTAAGAATAGTACGTATAAAATGATGGAAATAAAAATTCTAAACACCTAACTATAAGTCTTAACTAATAGTAAATTAAATACTTATAGCCTAGAAATACAGTTAAATAAAAACAATACTATTCCATAGTAAATTCAATTTATTTATGTAATAGTATTATAATAATAAATTACCTGCTGCAACCATATCCAAGTAATTAAGATCCATCAAAAACTCGTAATTAATTTGTCCGTTATGTTTGGAAAGTTTCAGTTGAATCTCTTTGCGTACTTTATCTTGAATAGAATTATTTAACGCCAGTTGATATAAGCAATAACCTACAGTAGCTGAAACTGTATCGAACCCAGCGACAAACATACCGAAAGCATTCGCTATAATTTGTGATTCTGTAAACCTGTCTAAAACAAAATTTAAAAATTGTATACATCAATAACTATTTTTATTTTAATATTTTAAATGTATGTCAGGTGACATTAGTGAGTGCCTTTATTGTTAAGCGATTATTGCCACTCAACATTATATAGGCAAAATACAAATTATTTATTGTTCGTATAATTAATAGAAAATATGTAAACATGTATTTTAATTCTAATATTATCTCACCTTGATCAGGTAAACTTGTATTTAACACTAAATCATTTCTTGCTTTCATTAAAACTTGAGTAAAATCATTCTTGATTATTTTATTTTCTTCTCTATACATCATACTATCTTTTAATGATTTGTAAAAAAAGTCAGTTACTTTTTTTGGATGATCTTTCAATTTTAAAATTTTTAAAAGTGTAGGGGTGATCATCAAGCACACCTGTCCAAAAAGCGTTTTTAATGAAGGTGTGAATATCAATTTTCCGTACTTACGAAATTTGCATTCATCATCGCTAATTACGTTTAAATCAAATCCGAAAATGCAAGTGCCGAGGACATCGATCGAATACTTTCTCACAATGTTTCTTATTTCTATTTCGTTGTTTTTTTCCCTTAATTCTTCATCGATATTTTTTATTAATATATCAGCACACTCTTTGATCCGATCACACATTATCTTGAATTTTCCCGGTGTAAATGCAGGAGTTATTTTGTGTCGCATTATTTTCCATTGAGGATTTCTCATAAATAATAAATTGTTCGACAATGGATTTACCGTGAAATCTGAGAAGACACCACGATCGGCGAAGAACGAGAAGTCTCTTATTAGCACATCATTGATCAGCTCAGGATCACGGATCATTAAATAAGGCGTCCTCATCTGGAACAATCCTGCGTATCTGCGACCGGTAAACTCGTAATAGATTTTATTGTAAAATTCCAATACATGATCTCTGCTCAAAGCCTGTTTCAATGTGTTACCGAATAACGGAATTGGCTTACTGTAAGGAACATTTAGTTTTTCCCATATTTTAAAAGTCGAAATAGAAAAATAATAGGCAATTGTCACAGCGATGACCAAAAACAGCGTGGCAATATGCTCGTACATCCACCAATCGGTGACGGACGATAGATACATGACTTGATCTGTATTACATACAACATACCCGACATACATATGAGTTAACACTGATTTTCTGATAGAAGACTGACAGTTAATTTAAAGAAAAAAAAAATATTAATATTTAATTAAGCGTTATCATTGATTAACTGGTAATAAATTTAAAAACTGTTAAACACTTGTTTTCTTATTTTATAACAAATTGGCAGCGTTATGTTCGTAAGGTCATCTAAAACGAATAAGATTTGATGCATTGACCTTATTCAAAAGTACATATTATATTATCGCTAAACGTTTCATATTATTACGAGTATTGTAATTTGCTACCTAATAACTAATTATTCTAAGAAGAGCTATTAGGAAATTTTTTTTCGACGATAACAACGAATCCTTGATCTCGCCACTACAACTTTAAATCAGTAGTACTAAGTTGTAATACTCGTAAAATCGGGTATGAACTTTTATCGTGATAAGATGTTATAATCGTGTGGGCTTACACGATTGTACCGGTGAAAACAATAACTTTTAAAAGACTCAACGATGAGGGCGTGACAAAGTCATGGTCTTTTACATCCTGGAGAAGAGAAACGCGAGAGATATGCGACACCGCATATTTTTGAGCACAATATGTAGACGTACCGAAGCTGTTGAGTTCAAGGCACATTTATGCCTCACGATTTTGCATACACTTGATAATTCTTGATTTTAATTAAATAAACGTAATATTTTAAATTACAATTGACTTAAATAATCATTTTGAATCTACGGTTTCAAGAGATGAAAAATAGACACTTTACAGTATATCTAATTTAGTTGAAAAATTGATACACTAAGTCAGGGGTCTCCAAACTACGGCCTGCGGGCCGGATGCGGCCCCCGAATAAGTTTTCACCGGCCCGCCAAATAACGAAAAATATTCTAAAAATATATATACCTAGTGACTAAGTCATAAGTGTCAAATTCTTTCCATGATTATTATAAGGAAAATCGAAACATTCCGTTATGTATATGTATATAAACGATAGTTTATTTTTATCGACGTGTTAAGTTCAAATTTGACAAAATTAAATATTTAAACAAAAATAACAATTTTTGTTATTTTATTTTAATTAAAAAAAAAATAATATTTGTAATATTTAAAACGTTTAGTGAATGTATTTATTATCATTTACTTTTACAACCACATTTCTTAAAATTACCTATAATAATTTTAAACTTTTTTAGACTTTTACTATGAACCTAATGATACTGTTAAACAGTAAGTCACTATATTGGTTCATAAGTTAATAAGTAAAATGATATATTGCAAATTACAATACAAATATATATAAATATATATATATATATATATATATATAATTATGATAATATATTATAAAATAAATACAATTTTTTTTGACAAATATTAACTGAACTTAACTGTATCAATAATTATTGTAAAATTAATTACTAGAATAGCAATATTAATATCATAAAATATACTTTGTAATATACACCGACATAAGTACAATCTTCAGACTCTTAAAAATTATTTTACATGTGCAATAATTCATCATTTAATTTATATTTAACATATTTATTACGTTTTCCATCTACTGTAATAGTACAGCAAACATTTTTTATCGTTTTTATTTATTTATTTATTTATTTTTTTTTTTTTTTTAATCACATGAAAATTCCGAAAATATTTTAACGAAGATTTGTTATTTTACGTTTAAATAAAAAAAAGTGTATTGACTATTTTTTACTTAGTTTCAATAAAAACAATTTATTAGTTATAGGGAATTTAGTATTATAATTAAAATACCATGTAATTAAACATTCTATGATATATTAACTACAAAATAAAAATAACTTAATACTCTTATGATTTTAATAATTTTTGTTGGTACAAAAATTGATTGAAAAATTATATTTATTACGAACTATCGATTAATTTTCAATGTTTTCATCCGAGGAAAATATAAATAAAAAAGAACGTTTTAATGTCTATATAAAACTTTAAACACTAATATAACTCAAAAATTCTAATTTAACAGTTTTTTGAAAACTCAAAGTCTTGATAACTTAAGGCTTTATATTTTAATAAAATAAAAACAAAATCTTATTTTACCTTAATTATTTTTTTTTATCAACTATTTAAGAAATTACTGTTGTATTCTGCTATCAACTATCCCCTATAAAATATATCCAAATATATCCAATTTATTATCAAATACTACTCTTTAAATTAAATATTAAATATCCAAAATTAGGAAAGTAATACGAAATTAATAAGAACACATTTAAAAAATGTATCAAAGTTCTCCGATGAGATCTGAAATGCCATAAATTTTTATTTTTTTGAAGCAGTATTTTAAGTATAGAATAATAATTACTCTATTTTAACAATATTTGCCAAATTTCTTTTAACTTATTAAATAAATACTAAATTTTAATTAATAAATAAATTTGATAATATACTAAATTATTTATGGTATAATAAATTTATATTAAATATAATATAGTGTTAAAATAAACTAGCAATTTTTTTCCCTCTCATTAGGTGTTAAATCTATGCAATTGAGAGGATACGTAAACTGGTTTTTATTATTAATATTTGGTATTTTTAGTACAGAAGTTATAAGCTATTATTAAAAATATTTCTTTTTGTTTTCAAAAAAGTAAAGTTTATAATCGATAGTTTAATTTGGATGAATCAGTTTTTTTTTTAAATATTATTTTTTTCATAAAAAATACATACCATCACTGCAATACTAATAAACTCATTAGTCACTCAAAATCTAACAAACATGGTTAATAATATAATATTATTTTTATTTTATTATCGGCAAAATTGATTTTGATTTTTTGATGTAATTCTTGATAAATTAAATATTTATCAAATATTTGAATCGTCATTTTTACAATAACATTTTAAATATATTTTGAAAATGATAGAGTTATTTATAGACATGAACAATTCTTGATTTTTTTTTTTTATAAATGTTAATTAAATATATTTACTGGAAAGAAATGCTTGAAAATGTAATATAAATCTCTACATAAATTGTTAATTTATCAATTAAAAAATTTAGAAGAATCTGTAGTTCCATTATTTTTTGTTAAGCTTTTAAAGTTAGAACTATGACAAAACTCATAAACATTGAAAAAATTAGTAGATAATTTTGAAAAATATATGTTTTTCTACAGTTATATTTAAGATTTTGAAATTTAATACAAGATTAATTTATATAAAAAAAAAATTCTATGGGAAAGCAAAATTAATTTTTTATTAGCATTTACTTCAAATTTTTACGACATTTGGTATTTAATCGTAAACTAAATATTTTTCCTAAAACAATTTTAAATATTTTATTGTATTTTAAAAATAAAAATAATAATAGATACTTGAAATTTTCAAAAATTGTTTATATTATTATTTTAATTGTACGATAACATTTTCACTTTTTTATTACTCTTTATAAGTTATTTATAGGTATGAAAAATTTTCAATATTTTATAGTCCTTTTCTATGAATGATAATAAAAATCGTTCGTGTAAACAAAATCTTTGAAAATTTAATAAATGACTCCACAAAATGTATTCTTATATTTGTATAAAAATATTAAAAATACGTATACACAATTGTTATGTGCATTCGAAGAATTTTGATAAGATTGGTCATAATTGCAAATAATTGCAAACTATTTTGTAGATAAGAATATATTAAAACTTTAATTTTTGTTTCTAAATTTTAAAAATTCAATATGAAATTTTTCATCAGTAATTCATACTAAAACCGTGAAAATATAAAAACAATTATTTGTATTTACATTTTAAATTAAAATTTGGACGAAAATTACTTGGGTACATTTAAAGATAAATAACGTTGTTTATTGTTTTGTTATAATTTAAAATTATTCGCTGATACCTAAAACTTTTATATATATTGTAGTATTATGAATTCTACTATACGCAATGACTTTTTTATTTATTTTAAGATATTATTAAATAGACAATAATACTATGAATCTGTTTTTACTGTTTTACAATATTTTTAGAAAGATATGATTAAATTTTTAATTGTATTATTTGATGGTTTAAATAAATACTATTATAAAAACTAAATGCTACTTTTATAATAATAGATTTTCGGAAAACATTTATCAATCTACTATAATACTAAAAGTAAAATAAATTACATTAGTAGCTATATCAAAAAAACCATATGAAATAAATATAGTGATATATTCTAATTCCTAACAGATCATCTCGGCTTAAAATCGTATTTCGTATACAATGATAATATACATTAAATAAAAATTTAACACACTCTAATAGTACCTCACTCGATACTAGCTATATATTAGAGCAGTTATTTATCTTCTTATTTTTATATTTTAAATTGAAGAGACTTTATATTTAATATTAAGATTTGATTTAAATTGTAAAGTAATATAAAATATATATATATATTTTTTTTTTTATTAAAATATATTACAATCTGTTTAAAAATATATTTAGAGACAAAAAATAAAACAAAATATTATTAAAATATCTTATTTTATATGTTAAATTATAATGTAAATTTTCTTCTTCCGTATAATATTATCTATGACTAATTAATTCTTTTAAATTTTAGCCAAATTCCATGTTTTGGCATCAATGTCAAGGCTTTATTAGAAAAACTCAATGGAATTTCTGTTTTTTCACATGGGAATACTTCAAATGTTGTTAGCATTTTAACAAGAGCCAATTTAATTTCCATCTCTGCAAAACGTTTTCCTAGAAATTCAAAAATATTTATAATTATTGCATTTAAATTTTTTATTAAAAAATATACCTATACATATTCGAGGTCCTTCGCCAAATGGCAGGTAAACAACTCTCGGCCGTTTAGCTTTTTCTTCAGCCGAAAATCTTTCAGGAATAAACTTTTCAGGATCCGTATAATACCGTGTATCGTAATGCAATGCATAAATAGGAATTATTATTTTTTGGCCCTTTTCAATTATTAATGAATCCTTAGGAATTTGATATGTTTGTGATGCTTCTCTGAATAAAGCAACTAGTAAGGGATACTTGCGCAATGTTTCTAAAAAATATAATTATTATAATATTATGTATGTTGTCTGGATTTATTTTAATTTATTAACTAATTGAAATAGAAAAAATATGTGATTCCATTATTTAAAAAAAATATTATCAACACAATTTGATTATCTATCTAAAGTAATGAAATTATCATGTCAATAAATATATTTAAATACAAGAAAAATACGTTTGATAAATTTAATTATTTTCTAAACAATACTGTGTATGAATATTTTAAGGAATAATTCAAAATAATACAAATAATGAATATGAGCAAAGGAGGGGAAGAATCTTAAAAATAAACAATTAAGTCAATAAATATTAAAATAAACAGTTTTAATCTAAACGCATAGTTAAACATAATAAATTAATCTATTCCATTAATAATATTATAATATATTAATATTATGGAATTGTATAATAATAATAACAACAAATTACCTGCTATAACCATATCCAAATAATTAAGTTCCATTAAAAACTCGTGATTAATTTGTCCGTCATTTTTGGACAGTTTTAGTTGAATTTCTTGGCGTACTCTGTCTTGAATAGATTTATTTAATGCTAATTCATATAAACAATTACTTATAGTAGTGGATACAGTTTCAAACCCAGCGTTAAACATTACTATAGCATTTCCTACAATCTGTGTTTCTGTAAACTTTTCTAAAATCAAATTTTTTAAATTTTACACAACAATTCATATTTATATATTTTAAACGAAAAAATATCTCACCATGTTTAGGTAAATTTGTATTCAAAACTAAATCTTTTCTTGCTTGCAATAAATAATGAACGACATCATGTCTGTCTATTTTATTTTCTAGTCTATACCCCATCGTTTCTTTGAACGTTTTGCAAAAAAAGTTCATCGAATCTGTTGGAAAATCTTTTATTCTTAAAATTTTTAAAAGTGTAGGGGTTATCATCAAACTCAACTCTCTGAAAAGAAATCTTAGCGAAGGTGCAAATAGCTTTCTTCCGTATTTATGAAATTCGGATTCATCAAAACTTATGGTATTTAACTTGAGTCCGAATGCACAAATGCCGATGACATCGATCGAATACTTACTAATAATGTCTCTTACTTCTACTTCGTTGTTGTTTTCCATTAATTTTTTATCGATATTCTTCATTAATAAATCACTACACTCTTTGATCTGATCGTACATCGACTTGAGCTTTCCCGGTGTGAATGCTGGTGACAATTTGTTTCTTATAATTTTCCATTGAGGGTTTTCCATGAAGAATAAGTTGTTCGAAAATGGATTTGCCGTAAAGTCCGAGTAAATGCCACGATTTGGGAAAGAGGAGAAATCTTTTATTAACACGTCGTTAATTATTTCAGGATCGCGGATCATTAAATAAGGCGTCCTCATCTGGAAAAGTCCTGCGTATTTGTGACCGGTGAACTCGTAATAGATTTTATTGTATAATTCTAATACATGGTCTTTTCCCAAAGCTACATTCAAATAGTTTCCAAACAATGGTATTGGTCTTACGTACGGCACATTGAGCTTCTCCCATTTTTTAAAGGTTGAAATGCAGAAGTAGTAGATAATGGTAACTATTATTGTACATAGCGCAATGCTATTTGTCCACAAATTGGCAGTAAACGAATACATAGTCCGAGATTGTTTGCACGAAATATAAAAACTAATAGTGACCGGTACACACAGAAGTCAACACTGTATTCATACTTAGTGTCTACTAATGTAGTACGATCTACTGTATCGTTGGCTCTTATATTCTTCAGGCATTATTATAATTATTATTATTATTATTATTATTATTATTATTATTATTATTACTATTATTATTTTTATGACATTGTGTTTGGAGGGGATTTCTTGTTTCTCCTAAGATAACTTATCGTTGTCTTCCAAATGACCATGAGAGTCTTGTCCATATTATAAAATTTTTATTTTTAAATTTTACCTTTAATAAGTGCATACAGTTGTTTATTATTATTATTTTTATAATTATTTAAATTCCAAATAATTATTTATCGGAAATGTTATTATACAATAAAATCGTTAATTAAATTTTTCATATTATATTTAATTTCGATTATAAATATATTACAGAAGTACTAAAAATTAATTTACGTTGTTCCACGATTTGGATTCAGCAAACAAAATCCATAATGTTTATATTTTAACATCAAATGTGTGTTTATCAATGACACTTGCAAAATTAATATTTTTTTTTTGAATAACGTGACTGTAATTCGAGTACTAATTACTATAATACATAGTTTTTTTTGATTTGCCGGCACTTAAACATGTCAAGCTGGAAAATTTAAATAAGATTACATGCATAGCATAAGAAGTTCATCACAGTCTCGTATTTTCAAAGTTGAGCACCAACTATTCATTATTTAAATGCTAGTTACAAGAAAACCAATATTCCCAGATGAATAGATCTTAGTTTACAGTAAATAGTAGAAATAAAAAAAATTAAAATCGTTCATCTAAATTTTCCCTCAATTTAATATATTATAATGAAACAGTTCACACTCATAGAGAGCTCGACTGTCATATAATAAATATAAGTCGTTAGGTTTTTTGTTCATTAGTTATATTTCCAAAGTAAAATTATTTACAAACATAATATAGAGGTCAGATTTGATTGGTTAGACCAAGGCAAGTGGCCGGCACAGGTGAGTTGTTTTGTTTCAAATCGGTCTACACTATAGGGCTTACGATTTCCTACAGTTATTAAAAGTACATGTGTGCACGTATACTTGTAATTTATAAATCACGTGGAAATATTATTACACGACTTTTCTTTAATTATGTATGTTTTAAGAACATATAAAATTTAATTTACAATATACAAAACATTTTTATCAATCTTTTATCTATACTGTTATATTTTGTTTACGATAAAATTGTTACTTCATCGTTGTTCACTGTTAGATACTTGTTTAACTTATTTTTAATAGAGTTAATTTTTAGTACTTACCAAGTTTGTATTAATATATTGTGATTTTTGAAGTATCGTGCACGCGACAATCACAAGAAAGATATTTACACTCATCGACAATATTGAAATGGAGCTCTATCTATCGTCTAGATATTATTTTATTTTTTCCTAGTCAACATAAACTTTTAATATTATACATGTTATAATATCATTATTCATCTTGAAACGGGTGACGTCTTTTTTTATTGTTATGCAGTATACATTTGTAGGATGACACTCGTCTTAAATGCGTTTTACACAAACACATATCATACGCACGTTGATGAAAACGCGCCTACGATTCATATCAAAACGCGACTCTTTTGTGTTCACATTAAATTTATGAATACCATACCAAAACGTGAACCAAAGTTGCTATGTGGAAATATTGTCGTCTGCAGTTTTGCTTCTGTATAGACAATACGTATTATTTAATAGCCAATATGAATAACCAAAAATAAAAGCAACTAGCGATCTACACCAGCTTTTTATCGAGTATTATTATGAAAAGAAAAAAAAACAAATGACTTTAAAAAAAAATTATACTAATAACGACTTTATAGATTAATATTTAATCAATAAATATGTGTAGAATTATTTTATTTATAAAACTAATTGGAAATATGGAAATTGAAAGGTATTATTAACTCTATAGTAAATTAATAATATAAAAACCAATGTTTCTCAAAATAACAATATAATATTTAGGTATAGGAAATTACGGGAAATTATTTTAGTTAAACTATCTGTTAATAAAAATAACATTAAATGATAATTATTCAAGCAATAATATTCATATTATAATTTAATGATAAATTGTATTAACTTATATTTTTGGCTGCATGTTACTTGCGTCTCAAAAAAATATATATTTTTCAGGTAGTAAATGTGACTGGTAAATTGCGTCAGTTTGCGTAAATTATTTTTGATAGTTTTCAAGATTAATTAGGCAATTTTATTTATTTTACATAATCACTATTATTTTAATGCTATATAATATTAATGTTTTTAAATATAGAAATTTTAAATTAATCATGGATTTAACATTCTTATTATTATTTATACGTATTATATTATGTAAATAATTTTACAAGTATGAAAATAATGCAATTCGAATTTAGCTTATCCTATACTAGGTCAATTCGATCAATAAAAAATTGACAATACTATAACTTCTGACTAAATTATATAAATATATCAATGTTTTAAAAGAATTAAAAATAATTATTCTTCCTACTAAATGTTCACTATTCTTTTATCAATACCTCTAGATATTTTTCTTTATGATATAACTATAAAAATAATATATATATTGTAATAAATTAAAAATAATAAGGGGTAGAGTATATTTTATCATTAGATATTTCATTGAATTTTGAATAAGAATTTATTAACTCAATTTATTAATATCAATATGGCTAATGTTATTTTAAATAAGTTTTGTTACAAGTTTATCTATTTTCCTTTTTATTTATTAATATATATATTTAAAATTGTACAGAATTTAACAAATTAATAAATTTATAGTTTGTTTTCATTATTAAGTCTATACTTAGTCTATAGTCGTATTTCAAAATAGTATATAATTTCGTATTTTACTTGTATGTTATGTAATTTATAATAGCTCATATTGCACTGATATTCGTGAATTATTAGTAAATACTAATACACTGATGTATCTATTTCAGTAGAGTTTATATAATTATATTGTGGTATAATAAACTTAAATGTTTCAAAACTAAAATAGAAAAACAAATATAAATATATTTCAGAAATAAGAAATATTTATTGAAAACTTTTGTGTATGTATATAGACATACAGAAGTTGTAATCTTTGTTTCTATACATTATATACTTAGATAAAACACGAAAGAATAGATTACTTTATATATAACATGATATACCCATATATATATAAACTATATTGGAGCCAAAAAGTGTCTAATACACCGCAATAAAGGGTGATGGAAAGACATCAATGATTTGAAGTTTTCTGGCTGATTTATCGGATGAGATTGGACATCCCTATTGCAAACTGTTTGGCCACGTTCCCAATAGTAGTGATTAATGTTGACTAGGAGTCTTGAAGTAAGCTGGAAGAAAAGCGTTCACTAGCAGACAGTGCATTGCATTTAAACATAGTACTCATGAACAACTTATACAATGTTAAACTGCGTGGTTTCTCAAAATCAAACCATTTTTATCCTACGAAAATTGAACCTATAAAAGCGTTAAAATATATTTATTTATTTTTCGATTCCAGGTCATCAGCTTGGAAGGATGGGTAGATATAATGTATTACGTCCAAGATGCTCATTCATTCTGGGACTGGATATATTTCGTGCTGCTCATTGTGGTAAGTTTTGTACAAGATGAAAATTAGTATTTCTGTAGAAGATTTAAATCTTTTAGAAAAAAAGTATAATAATTTAATACGAATATAATACATGTTAAACATAATATTAGATAAATTATATTATTGTATGCACAATTGTAATAGCAAAACTATCCCCAAAGATGTAACTTTGTTTATTTATTTACTAGTAATTGTATATTTATCATTAATGTACTTTGATAGAATATACCTTGACTAATGTTAGATAAATGACTCATTAGAGTAATAATAATTATTAACCAAAGAAAATTAGAATACTTGTATAAACAAAATTGGTAGTATACAACATTCCAATTATCATATATGTGATGCCACTTCATTAAGATTACATTTTTATTATACAGTGATAAAATAAGTTAAACATTTTGTTTTTATATTTAATATGAAAGATAAAAAGTTTAATTTAAATTATCAAATAATGATTTGAAAAATAAAATATGTAATATTTAAGTAATAAACAATATCATGCTTGAAGCATTATAGTCTGTTTTAAAAAAATAAGTATAATATATTTCCTAAAATATTTTATGCTACAAAATTGAATTATACTCTTAATGAAAATTGTATTATTATATTATGAATAATTTAAATGCAAGTTCAAGTAAGTGTACATCTTTTCTTACAGTTTTTGTTTTCTTGAATTATAAAATACTTTTTTACAATACGAAAATAAAATGCTATTGTCGATTTGAAATGGCTAACTCGATTGGTTTAATTATTTCTTTTGTTAAAAAAAAAAAAAAATAAAAGATATATTTACATTTACTTCAGTAAGATTACGAAAAAAGATACTACAACAGTAAATTATGAAAAAGTACATTAAAACTCTGCTGTGGAAAAAACTACTATAAACTACAGAATATTCAGTAAATAGGTATGAAAATAGAAATAAGAAATTATTTTTAAAAACTGTTTGTGTATATTTTTATTAAATTATTATATTGTTATGCTATTTAAATATTTGTGTATAATTTTATAAAAGTATGAATAAGAAAAATTATGATCTATTGAAATAATGTAATGCAGTACCCACAAATTTATAATCAGCTGTTTTAAAGTTTTTATATACATTTATTTTTTAACTCTAAATACTAACATGATAAGGTTAGATAAAATAATATAAAATGAATCAAGAGTAGAATGCAACACTACACTTTTATAACTGAAATAAAATTAACTAATTTAAATGATCAATTAACAAATATAACATAAAGTATTTGTGTATGCTTTTAGCAGGAATCGATGAAAATTGTGTGTGCTTAATTATGAAATATAACTTACAGATAGTGTGAAAGTAAATATGGTTTATTTTAACTACTTTGAGTTGATTTTAAAGTTGGGTTGTGAATTAAAAATGAAAATTATGCAATTTTCATATTAAATTTAAAGTATGGTTTATAATAAATGATTTAGGTATATTACGGGAACATTTTATAAATTATTTTAACGATTTGATAAAAAAAAAAATACGTTCTTTACAATATGACAATAAATTCATAACATATTAATTATTCAACTTCGCTGGTTATTACACTATAGGTAGAATGTCTATAACTTGATTAAGCAATATTCAATACTATATGTATAATATCAGCTATGTATCTATTTGTGTCTTGTATAATTTATAATACCAGGAAAAAATAAGGTAATAATATTGATCAATAAAAATAACGATATATTTAGTCAGATATTAATGACAATAATATTAACATTCATCAGTTATTATCATTATTTATTTACAATAAAGATTTTTAAAAGATAAATTTATCTTATTTTCTTGTTCATTCATAATTCATTTATCTCGAGATTAATAATAATTTGTCACTGATTAAGTACGTCAGATAATGGTATTAATAATTATAAAGTGTATCCAATATATTTTCTTATTTATATATATATATAAACATATTTGTTAGAACAGTTGGTCAATTATTATTGTTATCCCATACTTTATTAAACAATAATAATTTAACCTTGGTAGACGCTATTAACAGATAGGACATCTGTGTGGCGAGATAAACTTTTAATATCGAATAAAGACCGCTGTGCGGCCATCGGTAGTACAGAACTGTACTTTCGTGTCATCCATCTTCCGACGCCCTTGTGTTACGCGTTATCCTATTCACATGTACTCTCATATTTTACGGTCTGGCCATAATTGTAAGGGGAAATGTTTACCACCGCAGTGTGCCGTTAACCACTACAGAATTCGGGTATCAAGTGTATGCGTGCTAAATTTATGTTATAGATTCAAACCGAGTCTAATAAGGACGAGATTATTCAAAGTGTTCTGCACATATAATATAATTTTATGCGTTTGTTGATTTTTATACACAAACTGTTTGGAAATTTCGATGCGTCTTATAAATCATCAAGTTTATTGTTCTATGATCATCGCGTAAGGGATATACGAATTTAATCACATAAATGAGACAATAAACTGTCCCGAGCCATTTTCCTTCCTCCGCGCAACGTTCTCCCTTTTAAGTGAAGTAATTACCCGTCGAATTAAAAGCTTTTTTTTTTTTTTAAGTAGCTCCCAGATTTTTAATTTCACTGTAGAATTATTATGTATTTTTTTTTTTTTTTTTTTTTTTAATGTGACGACGAAGACCGTATATAAAAAACAATAGCCTAATGTATTCGTAATGGTACGAGTACGGTGCTTAAAATGTGTTCATGTCCTCTTGTGCTTATGGCGGCCCACATTTTGAATATACCAACAACCACAAAAACGTTAAGGAAAAAAATCCCTACACAACGTCCAACCTAGACAAATTAAAAAAAAAATGTTTTTATCGATATATGTTTGATGTAATTAGAAGGTTGAAATGTAAATTATATATTTTTCTGCTAAATGATATTAAATATGGTGTTCAATATTTCAAAACATTGTGTCTTAAATATTATTTGAAATTGTGAATATATTTAGTATTAAAACTCAGTTCTTATATTATTATACTGATATTTTTTTTTCTCAGATTGAAAATTTAGTCATGAAATTAAAATTTAACCAAATTATAAATAATTAATGTTTTTACATGGGTATATATTTTTTATAAAATTAAAATTAATTACTCAATCTGCAACAGTTATTTAGTTTCACATCATGCTCATCATTAGTCCTCGGAAGAATATATTACTCGTCATATTAAAAAAAAAAAAATAGTTATGTATAGAAATAACGGTACGTTATACATGACTTTTTTGAGGAAATTAATTTATTTTATAACGATTTGCATGCGATTATATTTATATCACATTTACTTACTGTACTTAAGTGGTATGGAATGTTGATTTAATTTAAAAATATGCAATTAAAAAAAAAAATATACCTATCGAAATAGTTTACCTATATAATAAGTATGCAAATTTATTTTTATAATTTACCAGCAAACAAGTGGTAATTTCAAAACAATAAAAATATTAACTAAGAGATTTTAAAGAGAAATAAAAAAATAAATAAATAAAATAAAGTCTACTTGAAATAAATTGTGTTCACAGAAAAGCCACTAATAATTTTAACATACTGAAACAAATTATACACCGAATTTACACGGAATATTTCCTTTATATTTCATTTTATATCAAAGTATCCGAAGTAAAACTATTCTGTCAGTTTCAAATTATTTTGCCTTTAAAGTGTAGATTTATTTATTCTACAAAGTGAAATAAAAAAGCAACAGGCTAAACACAATTTTCTGGTTTTGTACTTTTTTGTGTACACGTTAAACCCAGAATTGTCCACCAAATTTTCAAAAACAAATACAACTAAATATTTCCTCTGTGAAAATAAAATGTACTTATTTACTAAAAATAATTCATAAAATAAACATATCTTTAAATATTAAATTATGTCCTATGAAATATGATTTTTAGTTTTTTAATATATTTTTTACGATACGGGTGTAATAATAATTATATTATACTCCGATAAAATCAAAATTTAACATATAACATTTTTATTTAGTGAAATTTAGAGGTTTCAAAAAACCGTGATAAAATATAAAATAATATGTTGTGTAACTTCTAGAGCAATATTAAACACACGAATAATTAAATATATAAAATTTATGATACATATTTGTAAATTGTTTGTTTATATTAAACATTTGTTCATTCAAAATGTGTTAAAATATCATAAAATATTTAATGAATTGTATTCTAACAGAATATATTTTAATTTCGGAAAATTATCGATGTATATAAATGTTATTTTTTCAACAACAAAAAAGATCGTTGCTTACTAAGAAAATAAAACATTAATACAAAATAAATAACTGTTCAATACGTCTACTTATTGCGCATAAGATTAATTTAAAAAAATATATAATACTATATAATAGTAATTTGTACTACGATTAGATAAAATGTAAAATAAAAACATATATACATAGCATATCTTATAATAATTTGATAACTGTAAGAATCTTAATCGCGTTAATAAATCGATACACAATTAATACTGAACAATTGAGTAATAAACAATATGTACAATATAAGTCATAATATTTTCGAAGAGGAATATATTATTCAAATAAATAAATTATGCATTACCTATATAGTAATTTAATTAAGATTATTAATGTTAAAAGCATAACAACTTAATGTATATTTATTTCTTTAGGTTATCTTCACGACATTTGATAAAATAAATAAATAATATAATATCTTATGATTGTACAAAAAAATATTCAATTATAATGTGTTTCTGTTTAATCGTTTTTATCATATTAATTTATTTAATATAAACTTTCTACGTCGTATTATCTTTACCATTTGATTATTTATATTACCTACATGTAAATTTAATAAAATTTTAATTATATTATAGATAGGTTTTTAAGTCAAATTCAATATTATTTCTGTAATCCTAATGAATTTATTGATTTAAAATTATAATTTTGCGTTACACAAAAAAAAAAAAAAAACACATGTATGCTTCAATGTTTTTCTGTACA